TCCAGGAACAGAATGTCACTGGGTGTTAGATAAGGTGAGCCATATAACCTCTCATCAGACTGAGATACAATTGCTGGAACATCAAGATAAGGGTATAAACTAGACTGTCCTGGGCAAACCAGGATGTTTGAATGGCCCGGACTAAAGATAACATACAGACAACAAAACACAGGGCTAGAGAAAAGGAGCATAAGAATTGTGGGAGAGGAAGATGACAATTGACGTCACAGAAACTTCACAGAAGAGGCATATTTGAGTAGAATCTTGAAGGATAGGTGGTTTTTAGATGGCAGATTTGGGGAAGAAATGGGAAAGCTTGGGATATCTCGTAGGCAGAATTATAGCTCCCAAGATTCTACACCTTAATTCCTAAGACCATGACTATGATAAGGTAGCATGCCCTTGGCTGTATTACCTTACTTGGCAAAAGTGGTTTAGCAGATGTAATTAAGGTCATTATCAGCTGACATTAAGGAGTTCTGGTGGTGTAGTGTGTAGGCATTTGGCTGCTAAGCAGAAAGTCAGAGGTTCAAACCCACCAGCTGCACTGTGGGAGGAAAATGAGGCCATCTATTTCCACAAAGATTTATAGCCTTGGATTTGCACAAGGAAATAGCTCAGAGGGCAGGAATGCATAGGAAAGAAGGACACAGGGAAAAGGTAACCAGAGGGAGAAAGTGGGACCAGAGCTGTTACATTAGGGGGAATGCAATCAATGTCAGGAAACAAAATGTGTATGAACTGCTGTGTGGAAAATAAATTTTCTCTCTAAACTTTCACCCAAATCACAATTAAAAAAAAAAAAAAATTACAGCCTTGGAAACCCAATGAGGGTCACTGGACAGCAGTGGGTTTGTTTTTTTGGTTATCAGTTGACATTAAGATAGGGAGATTATTCTGGATTATCTGGGTGGGACTAGTGTATTCACACCAAACTTACTGCCATCAAGTTGGATTCTACCCATAGGGACACACAGGAGCCCATTAAAATAGAGTCGGATGAGGAAGGCAGAAAAAGGAGAGATTTGAAGAATGAGAGGGACTTGATGCTCTATTTCTGGCTTTGAAGATGGAGGAGCCACGAAGAATATGAGGCTTAAGGGAGCTGACAGCCAGCAAGGAAGTAGGAACTTCATACAAACAACAAGGTATTTGACTCTGCCACAACATGTATGAACGTGGAGTAGATTATTCCTTCAACCTCCAGATAAGACCTCTGCCTGGCCAACACGTTGATTTCAGCCTAATGAGATAAGGCTCTAAGCAGAGAACCAGCAGAGCTCACCCAGACTTCTGACATACAGAACTATGAGATAATAAATGTGTACTGTTTCAAGCTGCTACATTTGTGGTAATTTGTCACATAGCAATACAAACTAAATACAAGGTATTTTAGCTAGGGGGAAGAGTAAAATTAATTGTTGTGGGGAATTGCTGTCCTGAACACAAATATCTACAGGGGCCCAGCAAAGCAGATGAGCTTGAGAGAACACAAGCTTGACAATAGATAGCCACCAAAACTCATCTTCAGGTTCAAGGAGAAAATGAGGGTGGTGTCTACCTGGAGCATCCACATGCCCCATCCAACCCCACGCCACCCCTCACGCTGTTGTCTGGCAGGAATAGAGGCTTTGTGTGACCAAAAATCCCAATCTTTCAAGAGAATCCAGAAATCCAAATTTTTATATAATATTTCCTAATTCAAACTTTAAAACTCTATGATGGTAAACTTGTGTAGACCAAACAAAACTCATTTAAGCCAGATGTGACCTTCACTGAAGAGAAGAAAGAAGATAAGAAAGGTCCTGGAGCAGAGCCCAAGTGCTTTTGAGAGCCCTAAGTATGGACTTTTTCACAAGGCAGTGGAAAGCCTGTGAAATTCCCTCCCTTTCTTCTCATTTAGAAAAGGAACACCTTTATGAACACCACCTCCTGCCAGTTACCTCATGGAGCTCCCCAGCAATCTGACATGGTAAGAGATAATGGCTCAATTTCCAGATGCACAGATGTGAAATGATGACCTTGAGCTCAAAACTGTTTCTGAGTCCAAAATCTGAATCCTTTCAGCTGCACTATGTGGCACCTCAGTATAGAATAATTTTGTTTCTTTTGACTGAAAAGGAATTTACTGTCAGAATTTCTATGGCCTGCACTTTTCTTCTCTTGTTTGTTAACCAATCTCCTCTCCTTATTTAAGGTTTCTGAGCTCAATCTTCCAAGTTCCCACCATGGTGGCCAGCCCAACCCATGGGGCCACTCCCTCCTATACATCCCAGCCTTTCAGATTCCATTTTCACTGTTCATTTGTAAACCATTCTCTAGGTGTCCCAGTTCCAAATTCCTGAAAAAGGAATCTAATTGGTTTGGGTAACGTTTATAGGGTATGTCTCTCTTTGGTCACACATCAGCTCAGAAACGACCATTTGTAATCCCTCCTGCCTCCCTCTTTACCTATTTTCCTTTCTCTAGGCAGCCTGTCTCAGGAGCAATCAGCAGAGGCTGTGCTTGACACTTGGTTGAGTTCAATCTCTTAGGTAGCAGGGGCTAGGGGCAGCCATTTCCCTTAAAAAGGAATATGGGCATAACAGCATACATCATCTAATTAATCAGTCTGAAGTCTCTGAGACATCCATAGCCACCTGGGCAGAGGGCATGGCAAGAATGCAACATACATCATCTATTTAATGACCAAAGTGAGGAAAGAAGCTGGGGAGCACACCAAGTCAAGACACATGTGTCCTCACTCACAACCCCCCAGCAGTTTCTTACATAGCATAGAATACTAGTGAGAGAACAAACATCTGAGAGCAACAAGCCCTCACTCGGCCTTGGAGAACCTAGAAAAGACCTCCTAGAGACATGAAGATGAGAAAGGGGCTGGAAAGCTACATATGTTGAGATAAGAAGGCTCATTTACCTTAGAGGATGTTAGAGCTTAGACCTTCAGGGTCACCTTTAGAAATGCAACTGTACAAAGTCCACATTTTGAATGGATTGCAGCAGTTTAAAAAACAACAACTTTCAAGAAACTTATATTGACACATAATAAATTGCATATGTGTATATAAATGTGTACATTTAGTATCTTGACATATATATACCTATGAAACCAATTATTACCACAATTAAGATGATGAATATATATCCATCATCCCCAAGTTTCCTTGCGATCCTTTGTCATATTTTGCTCCCCTCCTTCCCCACCCCCAAGCCTCTATCGCTTGGCAACCACTGATCTTTTTTCTGTCACTATAGTTTGCATTTCCTAGTGTTTTCTACAAGGAACCCTGGTGGTATAGTGCCTAAGGCATCTGACTGCTAACCAGAAGGTTGGCAGTTCAAATCCACCAGCAACTCCATGGAAGGAAGAAGGGGCATTCTACTTCCATAAATATTTATAGCCTCAGAAACCCAGTAAGAGTTCCTATCAGTCAAAATTGACTCAATAGCAGTGAGAGTTTTTTGGTTGTTGTTGTTTTGGTTTTTAGTTTTATTCTTTTGTGAGTGTTTTATATAAATAGTATCATGTAGAATGTACTTGTTTTTTCTCTGGCTTATTCACTCAGCATAATTATTTTGCGATTCACCCATGTTGCCATGTACATCAATAGTTTGTTCTCTTTTATTACTGAATAGTTTTCCATTGTATGGACATACCACAATGTGTTCCTCCATTCACCTGCTGATGGACTTTTGGTTTATTTCCACTTTAGGGCTATTACAAATGCAGCTGCCACAAACATTCACATATAAGATTTTTGTAGAGATATATGCTTTCTTTTCTCTTGGGTAAACACCAAAGAATGAAATGACTGGATCAAATAGTACTTGTGTGTTTCAGCATGGCAGTTTTGATGTAACTGTCATGTGGGTTTCTTCGTGTACATACTGTGTATGTTTAATCTACAAGATAAAGGTACACAGTGATCATATGTGAACCAATGGCACACATACTCACCCACAAAGGAGTCACATCAGGCTGCAACTGGCTTCATCCTAGTCCTCCGAAACAATGTGTGGAACAGGGTCCCAGAAGGAGTATCTCCCAGGAGGGCCTTTGATTTTTTAAAATGCTCAGTACACAAGCTCCTGACAGCACTGAAGCTTCAGAACTGGCTCGCTGAAAAGGGCTAGTCTGTCTTCAGGAGATCCTTTAAAAAGTGGTAGCATCTCATTGGTCTAGAACAGAATAATTCTGGTCATTACTGAAGCTGCAGAGTAAACTAGAGCACAGGCTTTCAAAGGGTGGTCCAGTCAGTATCACCTGGGCACTTGTTAGAAATGCACATTCTCCCCCATCTCAGACCTACAGAATACTCTAAGGATAGGGTTAACAACCTGGGTTTGTGTCAGCCTTCCAGGAGATTCTGAGGCATGCTAAAGTTGAAGAACCACTGGCCTAGAACATCCCTTGAGCCCTTCGATTCCTCTGGATTCTGGATTAAATCCATCAGATGTTAGGATACATCAAGAGCATCATTCTCTCTCCTGTGTTCCCCATGCAGAACTGTGCTGTTACCCTTAGAATTCAGCCACCCTGTGTTAAATTCTACTTATAAACCCAAGTTACCAAGTGGAATGCAAACTTGCACAATGGTTGTCATCACTTCTTTCCCCCAAAGCACCAAACTTAAAAATAAAAATAAAGAATATATTATATATAAATTCTCAGAAATTCAATCATTGTAGCATTAAAAAAAAACAACTGTCATTATCACCCAAATCTCTATGTGTGGATTTCACCCTGGCAAATAATGGCATAAAAGAAGCTAAGAAAAGAACAAGACAAAGATTTTTGGTAATGAACTCCAGCACTCTTTACTGCTCTAGAACCATCACTGCAAATTTACACATCAGCAGGAAAAGAAATCAAATGTGAATAAGAAGAATTTGAGTAAAAATATTGGATATTTTTTGTTTTAATCTTCTGTGTAAGCATGATTTTTACTTGACATTATAATTTGGAGAGAAGTTCTAATGTCCTTGCTAGTTTTGCATGCTTAAAGTTTAGCCCAGTCTTTAAAAACTCTCTCCAGCTTCTGGCCAAGCAGAACTTTGCCACTCACTTTGAATTTGCCAGCAAGGAAAGCCTTCTGTGGGTTCATTTTGCCCAAAACCAACTCCATAAATATGGGCTCTGGAATTGTGAAGAAAGTGTCTGCTGGGACCCTTGCTGATCCTGGGTACATGTCCCCGGGACCATTCTTCAGGTCAATTGTCCACTGCAGAATAGTTTTCCCATTTTTGGTGATGTCTAGCTGAAAGATGGCATTGACTTTCTTTACCAGCTGTGCCCCCACTTCTTTGATGTGACGACTAATGTCCTCAAACACCGGGAAGCTCTGGAATTCTGACAACTCTAGGGAATGTGGCACAGCAGACTCCTGAGCTGAACTCAGTGACTTGAACTGGCCTGCCTGAGGTCCATCCCCTGCTTTCATCTTAGGTTGATGGTCGATTCTTTTCCACATCTTACTGCACTTGTACTCTTGAACTTGCCATCTAGTTTGTAAGCAGCCGTGGCCAGCTTAATACCAACCAGATTGTGACATCAAAGGTTAGGCCCTCTCAGGCTCTGCAGTCTTATTGGACAAATAAGTGTTAAAATGTGACACAGACAAGGGTCTCAGACAGGTCATTGTGAGGCAGATCCACACCCTGCCTCAAGTCATTCAGAGCTATTGGTCCCACAACCCTAGAAAAGTCTGGACCCATAATTGGAACAGGGCAAAGTGGTCCCAGGTATTCTTTGCTGACATGAGCTCTGTCTTTCCAATGCAGGCATCAGCCTGAGAGCAGCCCTAACCAAGCAGGCAGTTATTCCAGTTTATTTAAAGGTGGATGATCCTTAAAGCACTGATCCTGGTGCAAGGTTTGGCTTTGCTGGCTGCTGTTGGTGGGAGAAATAGCTATATCAGAAAACCTCCAGAAGCATAATGAGGATAAAAAATTAGGAAAGAATAGGTGGGTAATTAAGAGACAGGTTTGATATGGGTGAAGGGGTTTAGAAATGAAAGAAAGAAGATCAGCCATTAGTTGATAGTTTTGAAGCTAGGTTATGGGCACATAGGGGTTCATTGTACTAGTCTCTGTTTCTGTTTGAAATATTTTATAATAAGAAAGAAACTAAAACCAGCAAGAGATGCTGCTAGTCTCCTATGATAACTACATATAATAACATAGCACACACACTGAGCCAGCTCTTCTAGGCACTGTACATGTATATGTACAATTAATCTCCATTACAGCCCTGTGAGGTAGGTACTATTTTTATCCCCATTTTTACAGATGAGGAAACTTAGGCAAGAAGAAGTCAAGTGACTTTCCCAAAGTCACAGAGCCAGTAAGTAATGTAGCCAGGTTTTAACTAAGGAAAAGTGATTATTATAGAGTCCACTCCTGTATACCCCTCACTGATTGACGTTGTTTGTTAGGTGCTAGCAAGTTGTTTCCCACTCATAGCAACCCTGTACACAACAGCGTGAAGCATTGCCCAGTCCTACTCCATTCTCACATTCATATGAGGCTATTGAAGAGACAGTGGCTTGGGTCAGGTGCACCTTAGTCTTCAAAATGACATTCTTACTATTAAACACTTTAAAGAGGTCTTTTGCAACAGATTTTCCCAAAGAATACATTATTTGGTTTGCTGCTACAATGGATGTTGATTGTCGATCCACTAAAATGAAATCCTTGACAAACTCAAACTTTTCTCCATTTATCATGTTGTTGCTTATTGCTCCAGTTGTGAGGACTTTTGTTTTCTTTATATTGAGGTGTAACCCACACTGAAGGCCACAGTCTTTGATCTTCATCAGTAAGTGTGTCAAGTCTTCTTCATTTTCAGCTAGCAAGGTTGTGTCATCTACATATTGCAGGTTGTTAATGAGTCTTCCTCCAATCCTGATGCTGCATTCTTCTTTATATAGTCCAGCTTCCTAGATTATTTGCTCAGCATACAGATTGATAGGTATGGATACCCTTTACGTAGCTTCCCTAAATGTTAACATCTTATCTAACTACAGTACAATGATCTAAACTAGGAGATTAATATTAGTACAATGTTATTAACTAACCTACAGATTTTATTCAATTTTTGCCAATTGTTCCACTAATGTTTTGGCCCAGAATTCAGATTCTGGTCCAGGATCCCACATTGCATTTAGTTTTTATGTCTCATTAGTTGCCTCAAATCTAGGACAGTTCTTCAGTCATTCTTTGGCTATCTTGACCTATGGACTTTTGAAGAATATTGGCCAGTTGTTCTGTAAAATGTCCCTCAGCTTGGGTCTGTCTGATGTCTCAAGATAACATTGATGTTATAATTTTTTGGCAAGAATACTACAGAGATGATCTTGTGCCTTTCTCAATGAATCATATTGGAGGCATGTTGTTGTTGTTGTTGTTGTTGTT